CCCCTCCCCATCCCAAACCCCCCGATCATCTCCCCATCTCAACACTCCGACCATCTCCCCGTTCCGACAGCCTCCCCTCTCTTCACCATCCTGACTCCCCCCCTCCCCATCCCGACCCTCCGACCATCTCCCCAACCCGACTTCCTCCCCTCCCTATTCCGACCACCGGACCCCTCCCTCGCATCCCGATCTCGTTGCCCCATCCCGATTCCTCCCCTCCTCCATCCCGACCTCGTCGCTCCATTCCGATTTCTCCCCTCCTCCATCCCGGCCTCGTAGCCCCCCCCTTCTCTGCATTCCTCCTCCCCATCCCGACCCTCCACCCCAACTTCGTCGCCCCCTCCCCTCCGCATCCCGACTTCCCCCTCCCCATCCGCCCAGTCCGCATCGCATCCGGACATCGTCGCTCCTTCTCCTCACGATCGCCATTTCCCCCCTCCCCATCCCGACACTCCGACCATCTCCCCGTCCCGACTTCCTCCCCTCCCTTCACCATCCCGATTCCCCCCTTCCCATCCCGACCCTCTGACCATCTCCCCATCCCGACTTCCTCCCCTCCCTATCCCGACTTCCTTTCTTCCATCTCGACCTCATCCCCCCCTCCCCCTATCCCAACAGAACGTTTCGGCGATCGGGTCCGCACCACGTAGTGCAGCGGCATGCGCTGCCAAAAAAAAAAAGAAAAAAAAAAGGAAGGAAAACTAAGAAGCTCCTCCCCTCTTTACTCCCCTCCCTCCCTTCCCGACGTCGCTCACCCCCCAACCGACTCCCCCCTCCCCATTCCGACCCTCTGACCATCTTCCCATCCCAACTTCCTCCCTTCCCTTCATCATCCCAATTTCCCTCCTCCCCATCCCGACCCTCCGACCGTCTCTCCATCCCGACTTTCTCCCCTCCCTATCCCGACCACCGGACGCCTCCCTCCTCATCCCCCCCTCTCCCTATCCCGACAAAACGTTCCGACGGTTCCCCTCACGGTCCCGATTTCCCCCCTCCCCATCCCGACACTCCGACCATCTCCCCGTCCCAACTTCCTCCCCTCCCTTCACCATCCCGACTCCCCCCCTCCCGATCCCGACTCTCCGACCATCTCCCCGTCCCGACTTCCTCCCCTCCCTATCCCGACCACCAGACCCCTCCCTCGCATCCCGACCTCGTCGCCCCATCCCGATTCCTCCCCTTCTCCATCTTGACCTCGTCGCCCCCTCCCGCGCATCCCAACCTCCTCGCCCCATCCCCC